CTCAGAATAATAAACAACTTGATCCGGTGCTCGACCTTTCTTCTTCCTCAAGTTCACCCTTAATCAACAAACAGACTTTTATTTCTGGTGGTCACAATCGCATATAGGCTATCAGCTACAAGATCTCACGGTTTAGAAGATGATGATATCACAGGTTGTGCAAAGTTCTGCATAGAACTGCATAGAACTGCATGACAAATGCATTTTACGAAACAAGGTAACTGATCTGTGACTTTAGCATCCAAGCGGAACTTTTGCTTGAGGGAAATTTTAACCAGAAACTTCTAATTAGCAGAATTATACGGAAGACTATTTATCCTACGTTAACGCCTTTCAGTTCTCAGTAAATGATACTTATAACAGTTAAAATCACACATTTTATCTTGCAGAACCTACGCTTGTAAAAAGTATTTTGTTTCCTTTCTTTGATTTACAGAGTACGAACTTTGTTACAAGACTGGAACTGGCTGTCCGTTTTGGGAAAATATTAATCGTTCAAGAGGTTGATCAAATCGAAGCTATTCTATTTCCTCTCCTGAAGGCTGATCTGTCACTCCAAGGTAATTTATAATCCTCAATATCTGCCCGTCGTCATTCACCCTTCAGGTCTATGACACAAGGCTTGAAAACTAAGTATCTTTGATTAGGATAAGTAAAGAATGAGTATTGTGACCATCTAATCAATCGAGTAAGTTTTGGGGGCTGTTCTGGACTGGGCTTTTCGTCCACTAAATGTTGATCAGACTATGACTGTTTTCGCGTCAGCATTCGAAAAAGCTCTATTTATTTGAGAAGCGTAATTGGCGAGCCTGCGTAGGCTTTCGATAAATTTTCATGGGGCCATTACATTTATATAGGAACGGGGTACAAATTAAACAAGCGGTCAATAATCTTGGTTTTTTTTCATACAAGTGGGTCGTGGTAATCGGGGGGAAGGGGTCGATAAGAGAAGGGTGGTTACGTGGTGAGGATTTGGTGGAGTCAGTCTAGGGGAGGGGGGAGGAGGGGGAGAAGAGGGAAACATAGAGAGCGCGGAGGAGTACATGCAGCTAAGTGGCTGTGGGCCATACCAGACGTGGAGCTTGTAGGAGGTTGTTTTGCGCGCATAACGCCGGCTTCTTCAATCTGATAGCGGTCGCTTCTGCTATTGCTAACAGGCTTTGGACTTTGGGTGGTTTGGTGGGACCTTATAAATCATCCGGAAAGCTTCGTTGGGGTCCACACGATGTCCGGAATCAACAAGGTGCGCGAGAATTGTGCTGGTTATGCTCCTGAGTTCGCATATTCGGTTCCCTTCGTGCATCGCGCCTTACCCCTAACATTGGGCGGGGCACGTTTTGTTCCCATTAGGAGGAATAGCCGTATCTTTACTGGCTTTATGTTTTTACTGACTGTTCTATAGTCAGCTTATTGTCGGCGGCTCATGCAAAGCGGTCGAGCCTTTTCTTCTTTCGCTCCCTCGTGTACACTCTTCCGATTTGACCTAGGAGCGGAGAACGCTTGTGTGTGTAGCTTTCTTCGAACTAGCTTCCAAGTGAATGCCTACTCATTTCTTTTGTCACCCGATTGGCGGCGCATATTTTCCCGATGAAGTCATACCCGTTTCTTCTGCCAAATTCTTAATCCAGACGGGTTTCGTTAGACATTATCGTATTATATGGCAAGATCGGAAATATTCAAGCGTAGCCCTGCGCAGAAAACTGTTCTTTGTCCATGACAACAATCAGACAGCGAAAATAGGATTTTTCCCTTTTCTGCACACTTAAGAACATAACTTTGCCTCTCTTGAAGACCTTCATCCACAAAAACTATCATTCCTGTACCACAAGTGACGTTGCACCCTAGTTCAGGGAGGCTGCACACGACCGTTGCTAACCGATATAGGAACCTGGCCATTTTACTATCGTTGAAGGAACTGGGCTTGTTCATTGAGGAGACCCCTAAGTTGATAGTGGTGCCCATGCCTTAGAGCTAAAAGGAAGTTTTGTACTACTTTCGGACGCTGAATTTCAGAAGTGATACGCTTTCGTCTGTATTTAGATTATAGCATTTTGGAAGGTTTTGTGGATAAAAATGTTACACCATTAAGAAGGCAGACACGTCATCTATCTCCTTTTGACTCAGATAGCAGGAGAGCGGAATTCTGCATCACTTTTAAGCAAAAGAGGTACTTACAATCGTTCTCCTTAAAGTAACAATATATACTTTATAAATGTCAACCGAGATGTTCGATTCTCTGCCTCTCTCAAATCCTCTTCATCTCCTTGTAAACTTGTGACCGGCGATATCCACTTTTCATTCAAATCCTCTTTTTAGGTCCTCGAGCAACAGTAAAGATTGGGGAGAAGAGTGTCGACTATAACGAAGAATTCCGTCTTTTTATGACTACTCGTCAGCCTCTATCCAGTGGTGGCACGGTGCTGCCCGTCTGTGCTACCTCTTTGGTTGCAGTGGTTAACTTCCAGACGACAAGGGCTGGTCTGGTGGGCCAGCTGTTGGAAATCAGTCTGCAGCACGAAAGAGCTGAGCTCGAGGCCAGGCGACAGGAGTTGTTAAAGGGGGAAGAGGACAAAAAGATGGAGCTTGCTCAACTGGAGGACAACCTACTCGAGGTAAAATCTTTGTGCGTCTCTTGCTGTGTCGTAGCAAACAGTATCAGTGCACTTTCTGTTCCCAAGTTTGTAAATATCTTTGGTAAGGGTCACTTGTATGGCCACCTAAACAGAAAACGAGAGCAACAGTAGCTTATGTTGCCCCA